TGTGACAGCCAGTCTGTGCTGTATATTGCAGCGAATCCAGTTTTTCATGAGCGAACCAAGCACATAGAGGTGGATTGTCACTTTGTTCGTGATGGTGTTCTACAAGGTCTCATTTCTACTACTCATGTTTGTTCTAGGGAACAACTAGCTGACATCTTCACTAAGGCGCTTGGGAAGCGTGAATTTGATTTCTTTCTTGGCAAGTTGGGCATTCGAAATCCGCATGCTCCAACTTGATGGGGGTGTTATTGTGTATATTTACCGTATTATCCTTAGGTTATTTGTAGCCCTAATTTTGTATATATATTCTTAGTTAATAGATAGTTGTATCATCCGATTGTGATGATCATTCCACAAATTACCTCTTGTCTCTCTTGTAACATACTTTGACATCAAATCAATTTTAATTATTTTATTTTAAATATAAACTCAAAATTATACTCCCTCTTATTCATTATAAATGTCGTTTTGACTTTTTTGATTCATCCATTTTGTTATGTATCTAGACATTAATATGTCTAGATACATAACAAAATTCAATGTCTAGATACATAACAAAATAGATGAATCACAAAAGTCAAAACGACATTTATAATGAACAGGAGGTAGTACTAAACTTTGTTTTGCAGGCAGTCCTTTACAACACACTTGTTGCAGCTTATGACATCATGGGCTGTTGTTTGTGATGTGTGGTACCTGGAGCCTCAGAACCTTAAACCTGGTGAAACACCGATTGAATTTGCTGAGAGGTGCTTTATCAATTTCTCAATTCATTACTTTTTACAATTTTGTAACAAAATGTACTCTAAACTAAAACAGTAAAAAACTCGATGCAAAAAAACGCGCCGTTTTATTACAGGGTGAGGGACATTATTTCCATGCGAGCGGGTCTAAGGAAGGTACCATGGGATGGGTATTTGAAGTACTCTCGTCCCAGTCCAAAGCATCGTGAACGAAAGTAAGCTTTTTTCGTCAAGAAATGATAGATTCTCAATATTGTATATAGTGCTTGAATCCATTGATTCACTTACATTTTATGGGTTGGCATTGCCTTCTAGTTGATATGCTAAATTGCATTTTTAGACTTGCTGGTTAACGGCATAGCAATTTTAGTTCCAAGATTCTAACATTTTACCTTTTGGTTCCGTAGTTTAATATACTTCTGGACCGAAATTGCAACAAATTCCCAATTTATATATTTGGAACGGATTTTTGATTAACAATTTAAGTCATGTAATTTAAAATTTTAATGTAATCAATAAAATATTAAATCACGGGACGAAAAGGAGAAAAGTTGGAACCTTGGGACTAAAATTGCTATGACATTAAACCAACAGTACTAAAAATGCATTTTTGCCTAGTTAATAATAAGATCACTAGCATGCATTTTCAGTAGAATCGTCAGATGGCTATACTTGGGAAAAAGATAGTTCCCAAAATTTTAGTCCTGCTCGTTTAACGGCATAGCAATTTTAGTCCCAAGATTTTAAAATTTCGCCTTTTGGTCCCGTAGTTTAATATTTATCTGGACCAAAATTGCAACAAATTACCAATTTATATATTTGGAATGAATTTTTTCTTAACAATTTAAGTCTTGTGATTTAATATTTTACTGCAATTTCAGTCCTCAATATTAATGCAATTTCAGTCATTTGAGGACTGAAATAATTGCAGTAAAATATTAAATCACGGGACGAAAAGGAGAAAAGTTGGAACCTTGGGACTGAAATTGCTTTAAACCAACAGTACTAAAAATGTATTTTTGCCTAGTTAATAATAAGATCACTAGCATGCATTTTCAGTAGAATCGTCATATGGCTATACTTAGGAAAAAGACAGTTCCCCTTGAAATTCGTAATTTTTTTTTCTGTTAATTAACCGTTTTGTGGCTAGATATAAATATAACTGAATGCAAAAACTCAAATTTCTGTCCAACTTTCCATTTCGCAGGCAACAAAGCTTTGCAGAATCAGTCCTCCATCACCTGGAAGAGATATAGTTTCGGTTATACGGTTTGTTGTTTATTCTCTTTTATGCTTTAGATAGAGAAGTTCGTTTAGTTGTTTTAGGGCTAGCGTTTGACTTCATCATTTTGGATTCATCTCAAGATTGATGATTAGGGTCACTTCTGCCGGATTTCCCTTTTTTCATATTTCACTTTTCTGGGTATTCTTTTCTGTATCATGTATTTGATGATTGATGTTTATAAAAATTTTCATTAGTTGAACACTATTTGTTGAAGATTTGTGATCTAAAATTTTGATGAACAAAGAGAGCCTATGGAAACAGAACACATTTCATCTTTTACAATTCCATGTTAAAAATGGTTGTCATCTGGTCTTCTCAAGAGCCACCAAATGGTGCAAAATCAAGCCTAACACTGAATTCCAGTACAAGAGCCACCAAATTGTGCAAATTCAAGCCTAACACTGAAAAATTCAGTTCATTTTTTACGTGTTGTGGTGCAGTTCGATAATCTCTTTTTACTAGTCCAATTTTCAGTTTTATTCGGTTGAATGCGGATATGCACAAATTAAACCCAAATACATAATAAACCGAGTCGAACCATGCATTTATGTGTTGTTTTTTAATATTATTTTTAATGTATAAAGTTTGTTTGTTCAATTTGTGTTCTGTTTTTTGTGTTTTGCAATATAACAATTTCAGCATTCCAATTTACAACTTTTTAAATTCGGTGTTATTTTATACCAAACCACATCATTACTCACCTCTAAAATCAAGTGAGCATCAAAATGAAGACGGATTAAATGAATGCAATAATAATAATAATAATAATAATAATAATAATATATTACAGGTTACACTTGCAACCATAAATCTACTTTGCATTTCATTTACCATAAACATAATAAAGTTTCCTTGGTTCTTATTGTCCTGTCATGAACAATGGACTCAAAATCATTATTTTTTACTCTGAATATAGTGCTCAGGAAAAGGCAGCACAAAAATTGTGTAGGGAAGCAAACTAGAAAAAGACTAAAAAATATCATCACAATTCCACCAGGTAAGTAGATTGCACAAAAAAAATCAGTCAAGATTTGAAATGACAGCATCAACAACTTCTTGTGTGGTACTATCTCCGCCGAGATCCTTTGTCCGGTATTTTCCTTCTGAAATAACGCGCTTCACAGCAGTTTCTAGTCGATCAGCGAATGAAGGAAATTGCAAGTGTCTTAGCATCATAGCTGAAGAAAGGAGCAGAGCTACCGGATTTGCCTTCTTTTGCTCCAGCAATGTCTCGTTACCTACATTACCAGCAGAAGCACCTTGCTCGAAAATAGCATGATCGGCCCCCACATTACCTGACGAACCATCAAAATAGGGACATATTATTTACAAAGTCTAGAACAAATACCATCAATGTCCAAATGTACGGTGTATAATAATTATTAAGAGAGGCTTGTGTTTAGTGTTAGGAGTAAGAAATATGGAATGGGAAATGTGAAACTTTATGGATGATATAAGGATAGTGATGGTATTGGATTTGAGCCTTCACCAGAAAGAATAAACGTGCTCAGTACTCAATAGCTTTGGCTACTCATGACCCTATATTATATGCTAAACTTTTGCAGTTTTAAATGGTAAAATAATATAGGCAGATAAATAAAAGCGTTTATGGGAACAAATCAGTCAAAATCCCAATTAAGGACCCTCTAGATCTAGCTGCTATTGAAGCTATAACAAATGGATAAGACTCGGTCTTAGTTAGTGCATAGGAGGTATTGAAAATAGAATATAAATATAAAGAGCAATGAACTCTTTCTTCTTCTATCAAGAGGGATTATTGCTCCGCCCTCTACGAAGACTATTTCATTGTTTTGGAAATGAAATTTTTTTTCCAATTTCATCTGAAAATTGTTTCTATTTTTTCTTATTTTTTTAGTTGGTTTTTGAGAAATTCAAAAACAAAAAATTTTTGATCATTTTAATTAGATCTGTTATATAGTTGCTTATTCAATAAGCAATGCCTAAATCCCAAAACAAAGTTCTATAATAAAAGGCTATGTTGTTGTTGTTGTTGTAAAGCTCTATAATAATTATTTTCTTTCATTTTTCTATCTCTATCACTCAGGGGCCCCTATTGCAAACTATCATTAACATCTTACTAAGTAAATTGCATTTTGGGATCTTAAATGGGATAAAAGTTTTCGAAACTATTCATCATACATACCCCCGGGCATGACTCCAGTACCACCAGCAATGCCAGCAGCTGTATTTGCAACCAAATTGCCATAGAGATTAGGAGTCACCTGCAAAAATTAAACCCTTGTTGAAAGCTGTTGGCAAAAGCAGTAAAGATTAAGAAAGTTATAAACACAGCCCAGTGGGGCCACGGAGAAGAGAACCATTTGAAGACGAGAAAGAAGACTTTTAACCAACAGACACAGCCACTTCGATTCAATAAAGAAACCAAACTACGAGTTTCCAAGATACGCCAACCTTCTTATGATTCATGGTAAACTTTCTTTTTAATTAACAACAAACTAAATGACAACAATGATAGGTACATCATTCAGAAAACAAACAAATCATCAAGTCGGTAGCTCCAATACTAATGGCTTTGAGAAAGCCTGAACTTGCATGATTTGGACTGAAAAGAATTCAGCCGTACAGGTTCAACAAGATACTAAAGGTAAAAGGTGGATTGATTTCCAGGCCCAGCAAGCATGTTCACTTCAACTTTTTAATTAAATTATAGGAAGTCCAACAACAAACAGAATAAGCTTAGTATTTAGATATAAGCAGCTAATAGAATGATAAAGCTTGTTGAATCAGAATAATAAATGAACTACGAAAATTTGTTGGATCAGGAAATGGGCCTTTTCATGAACAATAGAACTATTGATTGTGTAAGCCGGTAAACGAAATAATTCTGAATATAGATAGAAACTAACAAACTATTGCAAAGGAATGCATTACACAGATCACACTAGTAGCATCTGAAAAAAAAGTTGTCTATTGTTCTATCCAGGCATACTATCTCTAAATTTAACATCATGAAATTTTGAGTCATATATAGGAATAAAGAATTTCAACTTTTCCTATTTTTGCCAGACAAAAAGTTGTCTGTAATTTATAGTTGACAAAAGTAAACTGAATCAGAAGAGGAAGGGGCACAACAAGGTATGATGTCATCAGTGTGACTAGGTACGGTCAAACCACATGGACTGACATTGATGTCTGCTGATCAATTTAGCTACTCACCATCACATCAAATTGCTCTGGTTTAGAAACAAGCTGCATGGAGCAGTTATCCACGATCATCTCATTGTATTGGATACTAGGATACTTGCTAGCAACTTCACGACACGACTCCAAAAATAAACCATCTGCAAGCTTCATGATATTTGCTTTATGCACGGCAGTGACCTTTTTCCTGTTGTTCAGATAGGCATACTCGAAGGCATACTTTGCAATCCGTTCGGAACAGAACTTTGTTATGACCTATCAATTCCGAAGAAACAAACAGTGAAAACAACATAATTTTATTCTGATGTTAGATTCCAATACTGAGACAGCAGCATGCGATAAAATGTTTAACTGCATATATAGCCTTCCACAGATTCACTATTGAATGACCAGCTGCAGATATAAGAAACAAATTCTATCATGCACACATTTGACTCAAACCTTTATGGATTACATATCCTAGTTCAATCCATTTCAATCTACAATCACGCAGCCTAACCAAATTACTGGAAAAACTAATTCAGTATTATTTCCCATCATCAAACATGTTTCACAGTTTTCACATGGTATATGATCCCCAGAACTATAATACACTATTTTAGGCCATCAATCTTCATCCAATCTACCCTTTGTTTTTACCAACTATAAGAAGGCCCTGCTGAAGACTAACATAAAGCACTCCTAGATGACAACCTCCATGCATCAGTTAGCAAAATGTGAAGAGAAAACGTAAAGACAACAGAAATTTCAAAATTCTACAACATGACAGAGCAAGATGAATCACGAAAGGCATAAACGATGGTAATCAAAGTAAATCCAAAACACCTTCAGGCTTTCAACAACTCCAGGAACAACCTCATGCTCGAGGCCTGAGTATTCTCCCTCAGTATTCTCCCGAATCACGACGATATCCACATTGTCGTGCCTGGTGGGAAGCCCCTTCAGATTGAAACAGTGCACGAGGGACGCATAAAGATCGAGCTCCTTCCTCAACATCACGTTCAGCGAGCTCACCCCACCGCCAACAGGCGTCTTCAAACCCCCCTTGAGGCAGACCTTGTTCTTCTTAATCGACTCGATCACCTCCGCCGGCACGCTCTTCAGATCGCCATGGACGTCGTATTTCTCGAAATACACCGGCGCGTGCATTGCCTCCATCACCTGCTCCACTGCGCCAGTGACGAGCGGTCCCACGCCGTCTCCGGCTATCAGGGTCACGGGGCGGGGGTTGCCGTCGCCGGGGCGGGGCATGTACGTCACGGATCGGGTCGCGGCTGCGGATCGACCGCCGGAGAGGACCTGCCTGAGGATCGGAATTGTGCCCCTCGACATTTTTGCTCGCGACGATATCGGGATTGGATGCGTGGACTGTGAAATTAGGGTTAGATTGAGAGGGTTTTGAGGCAGATGTGATTGGCGCAATGGCGGTAGAATTTCATGAAGAGGAGAAAATGAGAGCGGGTTTGAAAGGAAAGTGAAAACAATGAGAAAATTGAAAATTTGGTCCAAAAACTTTGGCCGTATCTCACATTTGATCTTAGGCACGTCATTTATGGTCATTTTTTTATTTTTCGTTGAAAAAACGGTACCACTCCATCAAGACTTAACAGCTTTCTTCATTAAGATGTTAGTCGTTATTTTTAATATGGAGAAAATTACAAATGTGGTCCCAAAATTTTTGTTGTTTCCCACATTTGGTCTCAAGTAGTTCGAGAAGAAAAATCGAACGGTCCAAAATTAATAATCATGCAAAATGAAACTCTCGTCTTCCTTTAGTTATCCACAAAATTAAACTCAAATTCAAAAGCACGGTCCCCACAAGATTAATCCATACAAAACAAAAACCCGTCCCGAGTCATTCTACACATTATTTGCTCGATTCAAACTCCATTTTTTTCCAAATACGTGTGCAAAAAGCTATAGATGGTCTACTCAACATACAATAAGAAAATAAAAACGAAACCACATAGCCGACTCCCTATTTTTTTTCTTTACTCTTTTTCCTTTATTTTTCTCTTTTTTTTTTATATGAGTAAAATGTTCCAAATGAGAGTCGTTATGACGATTTTTACCTAGGTTTATCCTCGGAGTTTGTCCCCGAATCTCCTAGGCCGGTTTTTCGTCTCATTGCCCCGATTTATCTCGAAAGAGACTAACCGGGCGAAGCGGAGTCTAATCCTTTCAATTCTCATGAGCTCATTTTTATTCATTTTTTTTCCTTGACAAACAAGCTAATGCGAGAAAAAAAACGAAAAACAATAATTGAAAATAAGAAAAGAAAACAAGCACGAACACAAGCAAAGAAACAAGAGAAAAAGAAAATAAGGAAAAGAAAGTGCATGCACTACACGGTGGTGTACCACCATGTGTCCAATGGTGTTCTTCAGGTGGGAATAGAGAAAATAATCCGAAAATCCTCGAGTGCAAAAAATAAAGCAATCTGAACGATTGTACAATGAAAGCATATCGATCCATAAGTCAACCAGACACTATGACGTTTGAAAGCATAAGAGAGGTTAAGAATCCCGGCACCCGGCCTCGGTTAAGGGTCACATGTATGCGTCTCGGATAAATGATAATGGTGAATCCACAAACTCGACAAAGACACGAGTATGCTTGAAAGATAAAAAAAATCGGGCTCGAAATAGCCAATAATATTCCCCTTAGGCCTTGACTTGGCCAACTCTATCAATCGACGGCCTCCTCGATAAATAATAACCTGCACCACCTTCACAAACATTTGAAACCTCGAGCGACTCCAGTAACCACTAACAACACGAAATCGGCACGTCCGGCAAGACGTGCCCAACACACCTGAAAATCACCTAAAACGATCAAATGTGGGAAACAACATAAGTTTTGGGACCAAATTTATAGTTTTCTCCAAATTAAAAATAACAACTAACGTCTTAATGAAGAAGACAGTTAAGTCTTGACGGAGTGGTACCGTTGTGGCAACGAAAAATCAAAAAGGACATAAATGGCGTGTCTGAGACCAAATGTGGGAAATAACAAAAGTTTTGGTATCAAATTTGTAATTTTCTCTGAAAACAATATTATTAGGTAATTTTATTTTATGGTGTGACTCTCATTCTGTCACTCATTTATCACTATTAATGAATTGGACCGATGGCAACAAATTCACATGATTCCGGGATGAGCTTTTGGAAATTGGACCATTTTGTTTGCAATGAGCTTTGTATGGAAAAATACTCCAATTGCATTGTCGACATCTTGCAAGGATGGAGTAAGACCACCTTCCTCTTTTATTTTGGGTGAACGTTGCTAAGTCTACGAGGCAGCAAGAGAAACCGTTTCGCTTTCTAGCCTCATGGATGCAGCATGAAGAATTTAAGAATGTTATGAATGAAGTATGGACGGACGGGAAACCTTTCTTGGAGGTAGTGCATGAGTTTACTAGACAAGTGAAGTCGTGGAATGTGAATGTGTTTGGTAATATTTTCAAGCGGAAGAGAGAGCTTTTGGCCAGGCTTGTTGAGATTCAACGTTGTCTACAAAAGTATTATTCTTCAAAACTTGAAAGACTTGAGGTAGAACTTAAGCCACCTTTATCCGTGACCCCCTCTTATTGGGTCACGAAATTTTTTTAAAAAAAAAAATTAAAAAAAAAAGGAAAAGGTCACTGGATGCGCGCGACCAGGTCACATTGTGACCTCGGGTCACGACCGGTTTTTTATACCGAAATGGGACACTTGTCCCATTTTTATTGCACAAGTGTATTTTTTTGTATCTAAAAAAAATAAAAAAAAAATATCAAAATTCGTATTTTTTCATTCTCTACAAATAGAGACCACACTTGATATATTTTAGAACACAATTGTAATTTTTAAATAAATTAAAATAAAATAAATATTTAAATTGAGTTGGGTTATGAATAAAGATAAATTGGGTTGGAAGATTGAGTTGTGTAGGTAGAGGAGAGAGAAACAATTTTAATTGTTAGGTTGGGTTGAGTTGGTTTGGGGATAAGGATAGTCTTAGAAAAGAATTAGATGATATCATGATTCAAGAGAAAATTTTTTAATTCAAAAGTCCCAGTGAGACTGGACATTATTTGGCGATCGGAACACGACCTTATTTCACCGCCAGATTAAGTCTCGAAGGAGGAAAAATCGAATTCTATTTTTGAGAAATACAGATGGTGAATTTGTGGAGGATCAGGCCCAACAGAAGCGAGTTGCGGAAAATTATTTCAGAAAAATTTGTACGAATATTGCACCGCAAGGTTCGACTCTGGTATAGACATGGCCAAGGGCCGCCCGGCACGGACCCGGCCCGGTCAAACCCGTTGACCACGAGTCCGAACCCGGACTAAATTTCCGAAGGGTCGTGTCAGGGTCATCCCTTTCATGACATGGCCCAGCGGGTCTGGGTCGGGCCGGGTCGATGACCCGCTTTTTTATTTTATTTTATATTTTTTCTATTGTTTTTTTTTTAAATGACGGAATTGGCCCGGAAATGACCCGACACAATTATAGGTCCGTGTCGGTTCCGAGTCATTATTTTCGAGCCCGACAACTTGGCGGGACAGGCCGGGTCGTGACCGGCCCAGGTTTTGTCCATGTCTACTCTGGTATGGCCAAACTTGTTCTCTCGATTCGGTCTTTGTCAACAAACCATGCTATGACGGAAGATATCAGACCATGAGATCCACAGGACACTAAAAGCAATGCCGCCGTTAAAGGCCCCGGGAGTGGATGGCTTACATTTCATTTTCTTCCAACAACAATGTTCAAAAGTGTGTGTGATTTAGTTCGCTAGATTTTACACAATGTTATGCAGGAGGGGATAAATGAGACACTAATCGTGCTGGTCCTGAAGGTGGATAGCCCACATGAGATAAAAGACTTTCGCCCAATTAGTCTACTAAACCTCGCCTACAAGGTAACAGACTAAGGTGTTGGCAAATCGAATAAAACCTGCCCTACCAAGTATAATAGGTCCGACACAATTGAGTTTCATCCCGGGACGCCAAATTTCTGACAACATTGTGGCGGCTCAATAATTGATCCACAACATGCGAAGGAAAAAAGGGAAGGTGGGATTTATGGTCGTAAAGGTGGACTTGGAAAAGGCGTATGATATGTTTTTGTTGTTAATACACTGGAATTATCGGGATTCCCTAATAACATTGTTCAGGGGCGTTTCTACATGTAGTTCCTCGGCCTCGATGCGGGTGCAAAGTCAATGGGGAAGTGACTAATCAATTTCGGCCTTTGAGGGGGGTTCGTCAAGGCGATCTAATGTCTTCCTACCTATTTGAGTTATGCATGGAAAGGATGCCGCTGACGCCCTTGTGGTGGTCGGGGCGATGGATTGAACTTTGGTTTTCCCTTTATTTGGCCTTCTTTGTTGCTGGGAAGATCGTTTCCTCCAGAATTGTCAGTGGTGGCGTCGTGGTTCTAGTGTGCGCGTGGTGCGGTCTGGCCAGGTCAAGGCGGTGGTTTGTAGGGAAAGGTTGTGTTGTGACGTGGGCTGTGAGACTTCCCCTCAGCGGATCTTGTTTGGTTTGGTCGGTTTGTGGAGGTGCTTTGTATTCTTAGCCGGAGGAGAGAGCTTTAGTTTAACCTAGTTTGTAGTGTGTGTTTAGGTTTGAGTGTTTGTGTTCTAAGGTTTTGTGTTTGTAGTGTGTGTTTAGGTTTGTGTATTTGTGTTTCTGTTCTCCTGTGTGAGTGGTTGCTTTCTCCACCCGTGGATATTTTTATAGTGTTGCTAGTTGTTTAATCTTGGTTAGCCTCTAGGCTACAGTGTTTCGACTCGTATGCCTCTCTGTAAAACCGTTGGTTGTTCTTTTAGTTGTTTATGTGTTGTTTTTATATTTTATTAATATAATATGTCGTTTGACAAAAATAAAATAAATAAATAATTATCACCCTAGTTTGATTGATATGCTCATCCTCTTGTAGCAAACGAATGTAATAATTAAAATTGGTATAAATAATAATGTAAACTAAATATTAATTTGAATATGTCCCCCTAAATAATAATAATAAATATATTTTTGTTTTTTTGTTTTTTTTAAAAAAGATGTAGAAACTCGAGTAGATGTTCCATAGCTAGAGCTAAGCATAAAACAGGGTCGAGTTTAAATTTTCCGATTAGTTGAGCCCGTTGTGCGGTGCCGGCGGAGATTCGAACCGAAACCCTCTGAACCCAATTCAATCGCACAAGTAAAACAAGCATGTGCATAGCGGTGTTCATGTGGAAATCTCATCCAATCTACCCCTTCATCCTGTTGCTCAACAGAGACGAATTGTACAACCGGTGTGTTATTTATTCAATTTTTCCATTTTCCTTTGCGCTGTTCGCTTGAATTTCCACTTTGTTGAGATGTGCCTTCGATTTTCAGGCCGACGGCGCCGTTAGGTTGGTGGGAGGACGGCAAAATACTCGGCGGGCGGGATGTGCAGGCGGGCGGAACATGGCTGGCCTGCACCAAGCACGGGAAGCTCGCGTTCCTTACGAATGTCAGGGAAATCCGCTCCGATTCGCAGGTTAAGAGCAGAGGAGAACTCCCGAATCGCTTCTTAAAGGTAGCTCAATCGTGTCTTGTAAGGTTTAGAAAGTTTAGGTTTTGTGGATCTAAGTAAAACCAGCTTTTCAGATTGTTGGCTCACTCATTGTCTTGTTAGATTTAGAAAATGTAGGTTTTTGTGGACAGAGTAAAATCAGTTCATAGATTGTTATGTACTGTAATTTCTGCTGCTATGCAGATGCTTTAGATTACCCTTTTGTTTGCTGAGAATTTGTCAGTTCTTCTTGGCAGTCGCGTATTCGTATAATCACTGAGGGAGTTGTGTTTGTGGGGGAGTATCATGGGGCACTGCTTTGTTGCTGATGATTGTTCTACTTCAATATTTTTCATCTGGCTGTGATTTTAGCTTTTTCTCCTTTTTTTCGGAAGGATTTACCGCGAATGACGATGCATGTGAGTTGGGTATCTTTGCAGGGCACGAAAAGTCCCAGAGAATTCGCGGAGGAACTCGTGGGAGAAGCTGACCAGTTCCATGGTTTCAATCTAATAGTAGCTGACCTTCGATCTATGACCATGGTTTATATAACCAACAGGCCTAAAGGCGGCGTTCATATCACGGAAGTTTTGTCTGGTATCCACGTTTTGTCGAATGCACAGCTGGACACACCCTGGCCTAAGGTGAGACGTTCAATTTTAGTCGTTGTTGATGCTTTTTTTTATTGTCATTCGCTCGTGTCGAATCCATTTTATTTTGGGAGAGAATTAACCAATGGAAAAAACTGGCATCATTTCTTCATTATTTAAAAAGGATGCATTTAATTGAAGTAACTAGGATGAAGCATATATCAAAAACTACGCTGTGAAACTATATGAAATTGTTTTGCAGACGTGAAAGGTCTGATATGGGTCAGTGGTTGTTATCCCGGTTTGAAGAATACAATACCACATATTGAAGCATTTTATTTGACAAAGTGAACTCCATTCATCTTGACACCGTATGAGTAACAAAACGTACTACAGTTTTGTTCTTACAGTTTTCAGACGTTGGGCATATCACTTTGTTATTACGCACACTGTAACCCTAACACTCTAGTATTAGTAGTTTATTTTAAATCGAAAGGACATTATGATGTACTACAATGGTACCATATTATTTTCCCATGCTGAATCAGAAGGTCTAATTAAGTACACTGGGTTATATTATTTGTGAAT